AAGGAAAGTAAACCAGAAAAAATGTACATATCACATAAGAAGCATCATTCAACCATATGCAGGGATTTATCTACAAAATCTTTAGAATTATATAGATACATACTCGAAAGAGCAATACACATCGGTGCTTATTCTGACATTAGCTTTATGCTATATAGATGGTAAAAAACTTGCCAGTGAAATGATTTTAAAATAGCAGCAAAACAGGACACTGTAGAACGTACAGCTGCAGGTGAAGGTTAAAAGTATAATGCAATTGTAGATGTTTTACTCCCCTTTCGACGCAGTCTAGATCATTTAGGAGGCGGGCTGCTTCGAAACTGCTTATCAGGGCAGCCTCGCACTGGATGCAGCGTCGAGGCAGACAGATGGCGAGAGATACTCGATTTAAAAAAAAACCCAAAACTTCCTCTTTCGGAAATCGAACTCATGTTTTCTACAAGCGACGGGATGCACCTAACCACTACACCATAGACCCCGATCTTAAAATGTAAGTGAATTGAAACATTAATTAATCATTTTGAAGCAACACAATGATTTATTAGGTCAGCCCTAACCCGCCGGGCCTCTTGTCCATGGAGAATTGGACTGGATGGAAACAACAACAAAAGTTACAGCGATAATAGAAACTGCAACTTTACAGCGGTAAGGCCAGTTACGACTGTAAAGCAAGAACCAACAGCAGCATCATTACCCAAAGGCAATGAAATGAATGAAAATAAGAGACAAACACACCAATCTTGTTTAAAAGACCACCCCTCCCCCTAAAATAAACAAAATCACCAAGGTCAAAGCCATTGACTAAAGGTTATAACGAATTATTATTTGTAAATATCACTTTTGTTATTGGCGTATTATTTATTGCTTTTAACATGGTCGACAACATAAATGCAATGTTATAAATGTTGTGGCGTCAAAAAGAAACCTATAAATGTAATCACCCAATCACCGTGTTAAAGCCTTGCAATACCCCTTCATGCAGCATTCCAATCAAAGCTAAATAAATTTCGAATCATTTGAAACATTAATATTTCATCTCTGTTAAGAGCCGCCCGACATGTGGCCACTCAAAATTGATCTTAAAAAATCAAGCTTGGCAAAATTGTGCGAAATCAGATAGACGTAAAAGTGTGTTCGCGCGAATATTCGAGTGCATTGACATTAATTGGTTGAATGGACTTGTATTGAATATCAAATGAAAAAAGAATATTAGTGTCTCTACAATGAACAGTATCTTCTGGTGATTATTTCAAACAGATTGGAAAACAGACCAGTAACAAATACCATGCAAAACCTAGACTTAACAGTTACATGACGTGTTTATTAGTTTTTGTTTTTGTTATTATGTAGGAGCTATTGGTTTCGTGTAGAGCACGAAATCTAATATTGCTCATGGACTGCGTTAGTTAGATTTTGGACCTAATCCTCTGTCAGTTTGAAACACAGGCCACGAAACTACCATGGTTTTTGGTTGGTCTGGGGTGGAATTAACAAAACGGCCTTCATGAGGATCACCGGATAGCTTGGTTTAGTGGACTGCATCGCACAAGTGTGGAACGCAATTTCTTACCCTTATTTTCGTCATGGTGTCATTCAAGTAGACATCTTCAAGCATAGCAAAGCCCTTTCTCACATGGCCAATGCCACTAGACAATTCTTCGAAAACCAAATAAAATCAACGCCGGGGTGGTCACCAGTAAATAGCCCCGATATGAATCCTACAGGTATGTGAAGTCCGGTAAAACAGCAGTTGAAGCAAAGCGACTTTGCTCCCTATTCAGACCCTTTGTTTGGAACTCTCTGTGACATTTTGGACGAAATGACCAATAATTGGGTCCAAAATTTAATAGAGTCGAAGCCCAAAGGGTTCATGGACTTCACAAAACCAATGGCACCTTAGCAAAATGACAATGGGCACAATTAACGTTAAGTCAAAGTTTTGCGTGGTATTTGTGATTGTTCTGTTTTCCATTTTGTTTGAAACCGAAATACTAAAATGTTGTTTATTGCTGAGAAAAAACTCTCAATTCATTGGATGCAATGTATGTCCATTCTATCAATATTGATGCTCGTCATTACGCGCTCGAAGACAATTTTATCGTTACTTCGATTCTGTACAATTTTGCCAAGCCTGATTTTCTAAGGTCAGTTTTGAGTGACCATATCTCGGGTGTCTCTAAGCATAGGTGAATTATTAAAGTATCACATGAGGCATAATTTTTTAAACTTTAAATTAGTGTGCTGCATGAGTGGGTAATGCAAGGTTTTAACGCGATGATTGGGTGATTACATTTTCAAGTTTCTTTTGGATGCCACTTTATTATGCTGGCTTTCAAAAGAAAATGTAAGTTAACACCTTTTGATTGAAAAAAAAAACTTTGGACTTTTTTAGTCTTTACGCTTTTCCTTTCATGTGAGTAATACCAAGAAGTCTCAAATGTAGGACATGTTATAAAATAACATTTTAGTGTTCACAGCACAAACACCATGAAATAGAAAT